GAGGAGGAGGAGGAGGAGGAGGAGGAGGAGGAGGAGGAGGAGAACAAGGCACATGTGAAGGCCAGGGCAATGGGCATGTTCACTAAGTACTTCGCTAATATTTATTATGGGCCTTGTATGGGCCAAGTACTCCTGGGTAGGTCTGGGGAATCTGCGGTGAACAACAGTCTCTCATTCTCATAGAAGCTACATCTTAGAAGGGAAAACAGGTAAAGGAGATAGATAAGTAAACTTAAACAGCAGGCAGGCTCCCCTCTTCTGGTCTCTTAGCTCACAGAGTAAGGGCACGGAGCTGGAAGAATCGGCTCTCTGCGGAGGCAGCGAGGCGTGTGAACCGAGCTGGGCGGGAGCGGCGCAGACCTTGCAGGGGTGCGCGAGGCAGGACAGACAGCAGATGCAAAGGTCTTGCGGTAGAGGCGGGCAGGAAGGCCTGAGTGCAGGCGAGAGACCACCCAGGCACAGCACGGGAGAGAGGGAAAGGCACATATAGGAGGATTCTAATGAACCGAAAAGATTCATCTCCGTGGAACGGGAAACCACCTGAAATGAACTGCGTTGGTGTGCTCACAGCACCTCTGGTGGTGGGAAGAGCACCGAGGAGGGTGACCAGTCAGAGCGCTGCTGCCCCGGTCTCCTTGGTGAGTCCAGCTGCGCGGGTAACTTGTAGGGCAGACGCTCACTAGAGATGAGATGGTTCAAGAAACAGGATGAAATCATGGGTTGATTCAGCTGGGTCCCTCAATCAGCCAGACTGACAATGGCTCCAAATAGAGGAAGAAGCTAAGCCTGTGGAAAGTCCTTAATAAATGAGGGGGCAACTCCCTAGCAAGCTGGAAAAGGGGCCAATTCAAACAGCACCTATTTGCAAAAAAGCCGTTTTTGGGGTGTGTGTGTGTGTATAAAATGGTGAAGAGGGGTGTGTGTGTATGTGTGTTAGTGTGTATAAAATAGTGAAAGGGTGGTGTGTGTGTGTGTGTGGTATTTTCAGCCATTCCTACCACACGCCTTCCTGGAGCGGGTGAATGAGCCAGGGTTCCGCTCAGGTAAGTGGGAGAAGGTGGAAAGGCAATAATGTCTGAGAAGCAAGGCTGAGATTCTGAGAAATGATGACCCAGAAAAAGGCTAATTGATTTAGCAATTAGGAGGGTCATGAAGACTAAATCTTAAAGGAAGGGAAGGAAGGTTATTCCAAGTTCAGATGGTGTCACACATTCTTAATGGTGCTTTCCTTTGGCCGACACAGCTTTCTCTCCTGTAGAATCACTAACTGGGTTTTAAAAAGCCTTGAGAATTTAAATAGTTGAGAACCCAGACATGCACTTTCTTCCAAGGTCACCCACGGGGTCGTTTTCAGCTTAACCACTCAGTAAGCACCCAGTATATGGCTGGCACTTCCTCTGAGAGGATTCAAATGAACCTCAAGAGCCTAATTAATTGCCTGAAGGACGTATGTAACGTGGCTCTCTTGTCTGCCATCTGTGTACACACGGTATTTAGGGCTGGAGAAACTAAAGCTCACGCAGTATTATACTAACCCGTCTCAGCAAGCTCTTTCTCGGGGAGAAGGGTGAGAGGTTTTGAACTCATGGCCCCCTGTGTTTACTCAGCCATACTTCTAACCGTGCTTTTGACTGGTTATTTTGGAGATGGAGTTTAGGGTAACTTTTCTATCCAGGTTGGCCTTGAAATTCAGTCTTCCAGATCTCATCCTCCTCGACAGCAAGAATTAGAGGTGTGGGCTATAGGTGCCACCTCAATAAACCCTTTAATATACAACCAGACTCTGAGAAGAAAGCCAGTATTTCTAAGATTCAGCGAAGCCAGGCTCTGAAGACCATTCTCTACATAGCTCAATTGAGTGCAACCTATACTGTGATATAAATGTTATGCTAAGTAGAACATTAGGCAACACAACAACTTGGCTACATATGGCTTATAATCTAGGAATGATGATTAGAAAAGTGTAGAACTGCGGCCTATAATACATGGTGGTACTGGGGTTTGAACTCGGGGCCTTGCACTTGCTAGTCAAGTGCTTCACTTGAGCTCCATACCTCCATCTTATCTGTACATTCAGATAA